AGAAGCCATCCTACAGAGCAGAGACAGCAGTAGTGCACTAGATATCTCTCCTCCCCCCCCAATTTTTTTATTGGTTTTCACAAAATTATAAACAAACAAACAAACATAAATTGTGACCTTAATAGAGTTATACTTATTAACATTGTTAAGTGACTTCCTCGCTTCCCCTTCGTTGAATTTCAATGTATATCCTTTTAACGGTTTTCCGAATCAGAGTTTTTAAAAACTTAACTTAATCGTTTAACATCCTTACATCTTTTCATTATGAAATTAAACATATTAACTCAACACTTAACTTATATAAAATCCTTAGCCAATCTAATACCTGCAAGCTGTTTCCAATTAATTTAACTTAACATATTTAACTAAGTAATCATTAAATTTTGACCATTCTTCCAGGTACTCCTCCTCCTTCTGGTCGCGGACTCTTCCGGTTAGGTCGGCTAGCTCCGAAAAATCCATCATCTTCATCTGCCATTCTTCCACAGTTGGTAACTCTTGCGTTTTCCACTTTTTAGCTAGTAAAATTCGAGCAGCAGTTGTGGCATGCAAAAATAATTTAACATCTTTCTTGGGCAATTCCAAACCTGTTATTCCAAGAAAAAAAGGCCTCTGGTTTCTTTATAAATGTATATTTCAACATTTTTTTCAATTCATTATAAATCTTCTCCCAGAAGTCTTTCACCTTGGGACAGGTCCACCACATGTGGTAAAAAGTTCCTTCCTTCTCTTTACATTTCCAACATAAATTATCACAGTTATGATATATCCTTGCTAGTTAAACTAGTAGTGCAAAAGATGTCTCTCGTGAAATGCAGCCCCCTGACCTCCTGCCTTTTCTAACAGAACTATTATGAAGGACAGACAGCCTTACGGTCATCATGCATGCATGCAAGCGCACAGAGGTGTCTCACAAGCAGTGGCTACACTTTCACAGTGCACCACACAAATGGAAAACACAGTGTAGTGTGCAAATGCTCCTTTTTTTTTTAATGATATTTATTAAGGTTTCAAAAGAAGGATACATAAATAAGAAAGAGAAAAATAGAAAAGAGAAAAATACAAAATACAAAAAATTAAAAACAATTCCATCTTTTCATCACTTCTCTTACATTTACTTGTTTCCCGGACCTCCTCATACCTCCCTTTTTTGTATTCCAGTTCAATTTATTAGTCCAGCAATTCCTTTCCCTCCTTTTTAATCCTGATCTTTAATCTTAATATATTATAGCATTAGGTTTTTATGTATTGAAAATCCAATTTTTCCATATTCTTTTATACCATTACAGCTAGAAACCACTTAACTTCAATCCAACATCATTCTAACATTCATTAATTTTACAATATTTCTGTAAGTAGTCTTTAAATTTCTTCCAATCTTCTTCCACCGACTCTTCTCCCTGGTCTCGGATTCTGCCAGTCATTTCCGCCAATTCCATGTAGTCCATCATTTTCATCTGCCATTCCTCCAGTGTGGGTAGATCTTGTGTCTTCCAATGCTTTGCAATAAGTATTCTTGCTGCTGTTGTAGCATACATAAAGAAAGTTCTGTCCTTCTTTAACACCGATTGGCCGACTATGCCCAGGAGGAAGGCCTCTGGTTTCTTCAAGAAGGTATATTTAAATACCTTTTTTAATTCATTATAAATCATCTCCCAGAAAACCTTAATCTTTGGGCCCGTCCACCAAAGGTGAAAGAATGTACCTTCAGTTTCTTTACATTTCCAACATTTATTATCGGGCAAATGGTAGATTTTTGCAAGCTTGACTGGGGTTATGTACCACCTGTATATCATTTTCGTAATATTCTCTCTTAAGGCATTACATGCCGTAAACTTCATACCTGTGGTCCACAACTGTTCCCAGTCAGCCATCGTTATGTTATGTCCAACGTCTTGTGCCCATTTAATCATAGCAGATTTCACCGTTTCATCCTGAGTATTCCATTTCAACAGCAAGTTATACATCTTTGACAAAATTTTAGTTTTGGGTTCTAACAATTCTGTTTCTAATTTTGATTTTTCCACCTGGAAGCCTATTTTCTTGTCCAAATTGTATGCCTCCATTATCTGATAATAATGAAGCCAGTCTCGCACTTTGTTTTTTAGTTTTTCAAAACTCTGCAGTTTCAATCTATCTCCATCTTGTTCCAAAATTTCCCAATATTTCGGCCATTTGACCTCCATATTGAGCCTTTTCAGGGCTTTCGCTTCCATCGGTGACAGCCACCTTGGGGTTTTATTTTCCAATAAATCCTTATATCTTATCCAGACATTAAACAATGCTTTCCTGACAATATGGTTTTTAAATGCTTTATGTGCTTTGACCTTATCATACCACAGATATGCATGCCATCCAAATACATTGTTAAAGCCTTCTAGATCCAAAATGTCAGTGTTTTCAAGAAGCAGCCATTCTTTCAACCAGCAAAAGCTGCTGATTCATAATAAAGTTTGAGGTCTGGCAGGGCAAATCCACCTCTTTCCTTTGCATCTGTTAGTATTTTAAATTTTATTCTGGGCTTCTTGCCCTGCCAGACAAATCTAGAAATATCTCTCTGCCACCTCTTGAAACAGTCCATTTTGTCCACAATTTGCAATGTTTGAAACAAAAACAACATTCTGGGCAATACATTCATTTTTATCGCAGCAATACGACCCAGCAGTGAAAGCTTCAAATTTGACCAAATTTCTAAATCTTTTTTCACTTCAGCCCAGCATTTTTCATAGTTATCTTTAAATAAGTTCCCATTTTTTGCTGTCATGTTAATCCCCAGGTATTTAACTTTCTTAACCACTGTTAAACCTGTCTCATTCTGAAACCTCTCTCTCTCCATTGGTGTTAAATTTTTCTCTAAAACCTTAGTTTTTAACTTATTCAATTTAAACCCTGCAACTTGACCAAATTCTTGAATCAGTTCTAAAACCCTTTTGGTACTAGATTCTGGCTCCTGTAACGTCAGTACTAAGTCATCTGCAAATGCTCTCAGTTTGTACTGTTTGGCTCCGACCTGTATACCTTTAACCAACTGGTCCCTTCTTATCATATTCAGCAGAACCTCCAGGAGTGATATAAAAAGCAATGGGGAGATTGGGCAACCTTGTCGTGTCCCTTTTTCTATCTTAAATTCTTCCGTCACCACATTATTTACAATTAATTTAGCCTTTTGTTCCGAATATATTGCACTTATACCATTTTCAAAACCTTGGCCTACCCCCATACCCTGTAGTTTTTTTTTTCATAAAAGTCCAAGAAATATTGTCAAAAGCTTTCTCCGCGTCCACAAATATTAAAACTGCCTTAGTATTTATATTCACTTGTAATTTTTCTGAAATATTAATTATGTTTCTCATATTATCAGATAGATGTCTTCCTGGGAGAAAGCCTGCTTGGTCCTTGTGTATCTCTTCCACTAAGACTCTTTTTAATCTTTTAGCCAAAATGTCGGCAAAAATTTTGTAATCCACATTAAGCAATGATATGGGGCAATAGTTCTTAAGCTGCATCTTTTCAGTCTCTATTTTCGGTACAAGTGTGATATATGCTTCTTTCCACGACTCTGGTGCCCTTTTCCCCTCCATTATTTCATTACAGACCTCTTTCAAAGGTTGTACTAGCCATTCTTTTAAGGATCTGTAGTATCTAGAAGTCAGTCCATCCGGTCCTGGAGATTTACCCAATTGCATATTCTGAATGGCACCTTCTATCTCCTGTTCAGTTATTTTGTAGTTCAACATTAATTAATTTTCTTGAGAGATGTTTTGTAATCCATTTGTTTTCAAAAATCGATCTACATCAGTTTCTTTCAGTGGCCCTTGTGTATATAGTTGTTTAAAGTACCTCTGGAAACAATTTCTAATCTCAGCTGGGTTCTGTATATTCCTTCCTTCCACTTCTAAATTTGTAACTGTATTTAATTTTTGTATTTTTTTCATTTGCCAAGCCAACAATTTCCCACATTTATTAGCTGACTCGAATGTCTTTTGTCTCATTTGTTTAATTTTCCATTCTATCTCCTGATTCATCATTTTCATATATTGCACTTGATATAACTTTATTTCTCTCAAAATCTCTTGAGACTTTGGTTTTGCTCTCAATCTTTTTTCACTTTCCTTTATTTTCTCCAAAATTTTATCCTTCTTCTCATTTTGGATTCTCTTCTTTAATGCATTCTGTTGTATCAAGAACCCTCTCATAACCGCTTTACTTGCGTCCCAGATTACTCTTTTTTCCACACTGGTGCTCATATTTATCTCAAAATAGTCTCTCAAGGTTTTTTGGGCCTTCTTAAGCACTTCTTCATCTCTAAATAAGGTGTCATTCATCCTCCATCTAAAGGAGCCAGTTGGTGTTAGTTTCATTTCCATCTTAACAGCATTATGGTCGGAGCAGGTTTTTGGGCAGATTTCCACTTTTCTTGTCTTTGGTGCCATTCCTCTAGTTACCCATATGGGCAGATTTCCACTTTTCTTGTCTTTGGTGCCATTCCTCTAGTTACCCAAATGCTCCTTGAGTACTAGGTAGCTAGATAGTCGACAGGAAGCATGTGAGTTGTGTTATGTTCTGAAGTTCTTACCCTGGGCCAGCAGGGGGATGCTGTAGATAGTTTTCACTCAGATCCACATATGCAAATAAGGAATTGAAAGTGACGTTCTGTGATTGGATAGTTACAGAAAGTTGTTACTGTTGCCTTGTAGTTGAGCTCTATATAAGCAGGTTGGCTGAAACCTTCAGCCCAGTTCTGTTCTGGCCTGTGAATAAACAAGAGCTGTTTGAAGAATCGCTGTGTCATCTGATATGTTCACCCACAACTTAACACTGGCGATGAAGGTGGGATTGAAGGATATCAGAGCACAGCCAGACGCGGCCACCCTCTCAGCTGAGCTGAATCACTGAGCTGAAAAACTGAGCGAAATCACGAAGCAGAACCAATTCAGAGCTGACCGTTCTGGCTAGAGCACTGTGTTCCATCCATCGCCCACCACATTGGCATCAGAACCATGGCTTCACTCATGCCTCTACCGCCGTTTGCCCCAGCCTCTGAATCATGGGACTCCTACCTTGCTCGGTTTGCTTGCTTCCTCCAAGCAAACGAGCTGATGGAAGTGTCAGAGGAGCGTAAGCGGGGCCTATTCCTCAGCCTCTGTGGGCCTGAGGTATTCAAGACGGCCCGAGCATTGGTTGCGCCAGTAGCAGTCCAGGCAGTGCCGTGGGACACGATTCAAGAGAAGCTCTGCAACCACTACATGCCTAAACCGTCCAAGATTGCTGCCCGCCATGCGTTCTACCATCGGAACCAGGCAGAGGGGGAGTCAACCAACAACTCCACGGCTGCCCTCCAACAGGCTGCATTGCACTGTGAGTTCCGAAACTTAGACTATGCCCTGATGGATAGAATCGTCTGTGGGGTCCAGGACATCCGTCTGCAACAGGGTCTCCTCACCAAGCCAGACCTCACACTGCAGAAAGCCATTGAGGAGGCCGCGGCCTCGGAAGCTGCTGAACTATCCGCCCAGGAGATCTGCAAGGCCAGCAGCCCGCGTCTTGCTAGGAAGCCAGTTCCAGTGCATCACCAAGATGCCAGCAGTGACGAGGCATCCTCCAGTGAAGATGATGACATGCACCAGACAAAGTGGGAGCTCGGGAAGTTCAAACAGAAGTCCAAGGGCCAATTGGAATGTGCCAGCTGAGGAGGCAACTATTCCCTTGCCAAGTGTCTGTCAGAAATATTCCAGAAGGGGCCACATCGCTAAGGTCTGCTGATCAGCTCCATCTGACACCCCCCCTTCACCGACTCGCAAGTCCAAGTCTTCACTCCAGTCCGCCAAGGAAAGCTGTTTCACTCTCACCACTGCCCGTCCGGAACCATGATTGGCCAAACTGACTCGCCTACACGACGCAGGCTGAATGTCACTGTGCTCATTGAAGGAGCTCCATGTGACATGGAGATTGACACCGGGTCTGCCCTGTCCATCGTGTATTGGAGCACCAATCAAAAGACTCGTACCCAGGGTGTCCAAAAGGCAACTTGACTCTCACCGCATACACCTGAGAGACTACCAGGGAAACGACATTCCCGTGGTAGGCATTGGCCGGTTCTGGATTGCCTTCAAGGATTTTCGGGCCTGCTCCGACTGGTGGTGGTTGAAGGTCAGCGGCCAAGCCTCCTAGGGCTAGACTGGTTTGATGCCCTCAGCCTGGAAGTCACCGGCATCAACTGCATCTCTAACGCAGAGACTGAGGGTCTGATCAAAGACTTTGCTGAGGCTTTTGACGGCACTTTGGGTATGCCCATCTCCTTTAGCCTTGATCCACAAGTTGCCCCCATCAAGCTAAAGCCACGCCGGGTTCCGTTTGCTCTCAAGGCTAAGGTGGACGAACAACTGGACAAGCTAATTGCCCAAGCAGTTTTGGAGCCGGTTGACCATGCCAAGTGGGAAACCCCCATTGTCATGCCTGTCATGCCGGACAGGTCGGTGAGAATTTGCGCCGACTACAAGTGCACGATCAACAAGACTCTTCAGCAGCACGCTTACCTGGTTCCTGTTGTCAACCACCTACTGCATTCCCTGGGTGAGGGTAAGGTCTTTGCTAAGCTGGACCTTGCCCAAGCCTATCAACAACTGTCCATTGATGATGCCACCGCTGAAGCCCAGATGATTGTCACCCACCAAGGGGCATTCCGTTGTCGCCGTTTGCAGTTCGGGGTGAGTGTGACTCCTGGCATCTTCCAAAGCCTTATGGAGCATCTCCTGCAAGGGCTTCCGGGCATGGTACCATATTGTGATGACGTCTTGGTGTCTGCAGACTCACACCAGCAGCTGTTCGAGCATCTCCGCACCGTGCTGACCAGGTTCCAGGAGGCCGGGCTCAAGGTAAAGAGGGAGAAGTGCCAGATCGCCGTTCCACAGGTGGAGTTCCTGGGCTATCTTATCGACGCCTCCGGCCTTCACCCAACCACATCCAAGATCCACGCTATCCAGCAGGCCCCCATCCCAAAGAACAAGACAGAGTTGCAGGCGTTCCTGGGGCTGCTGAACTTTTATAACATGTTCCTGCCCCACAAAGCGATAGTAGCCGAGCCTCTTCACCAACTCCTCAGCATGAAGACACCTTGGTCCTGGGGTCATTGGGAGATGGTGGCCTTCAACGTGGTCAAGGCTCTCCTTTCATTGGACAGTGTGCTGGTACAGTACATTGAAGCCAGGCCAATGGTCCTTGCCTGCGACGCCTCACCTTTTGGCATCGGCGCTGTCCTTAGTCACCATTTTCCAGACAGAAGAGAAGCACCGCTCGCCTACTTTTCCAGGACGCTGTCTCCGACTGAACAGAAATACAGCCAGCTCGACAAGGAAGCACTGGCACTTGTGGCTGGAGTGAAGAGGTTCCATGAATACCTCTACGGCAGGACCTTCGACCTCATCACCAACCACAAGCCGCTCCTGGGCCTCCTCGCCGGTGATCGACCAACTCCACCGGTCCTCTCGTCGCGCATGCTACGACGGACTGTTTTCCTGGCTGCCTACCACTACCGGCTCATCTATCGCCCAGGGAAATCGATGGGCCATGCCGACGCCCTCAGCCGTTGCCCTCTTCCAGCATTTGTGGAAGACCCCGCTCCTGCTTCATCGTTCCTCCTGATGATTGTAACTAATGTCTTATCTAGGTGTGGAGGGGTGTTATGTACTGAAGTTCTCACCCTGGGCCAGCAGGGGGATACTGTAGATAGTTTTCACTATCTGGCTGAACCTTTCAGCCCAGTTCTGTTCTGGCTTGTGAATAAGCAAGAGCTGTTTGAAGAATCACTGTGCTGTCTGATATGTTCACCCACAACTGTGGGTGAACAAATGTGACACCTGGCATAGGTGAATCAACACAAAAAAAACCTTCCTGTCTGGGGTTTTTCTCAGGGTTTGCATCCTCTCATTTGGACAACTGCCCAAGAGATTAAAATTCTGGGTGACTGGCAGCCCCAGCTGAGGGACAGGGTGATCTTTGCCAGGGTTCTCTTGCAGAACTAGGGTGAGGAACCCCTTTTGGCCAAAGCACCACTGTCGCTTCTAGAGCAGGTTGTAGCAGGTTTCACATGGCAAAAGTGGGCGGAGCAGTGAATGTAAAATTTTCTTTTGCTCAGGCTAGTTTCAGCCTACAGCCTTCACTGCCCTCCATCCAAACAACCAGCAGGTGTTCTTGGAGCTCAAGCAGGAATTCCAGCCAAGCAGAAACACTGAACATAGTGGGGGCAAGGAGGAGGGTGGGGAGAGGATGTGGTTTAGGGCAGGAGAGGGCTGCAGAGCGGCATTCCCCACCCTGGGCTAACAGACCACGAGGGAGGGTATCATTCAGCAGTGGCTGGTGGCATTGGTGGGGGCAGATGTCCCCTCCCCAAGTCAAGTAAAACAATAGAAATACTTAACTAACTGACCAATCATGTCGGTTCTGCCCCCCACCCCACAAAAACCCTGGCTATGCACAAGGCTGGGAGCCCAACAGCCAACAGCGCTAGAATCAATGAAACGCAGAGCCAACAAATTCGTGTTTGGTCCTGTTATAAGAATTTTAAGGTCTTATATATAAAATAAATGTTCATAAATGTACCAAGCAAACACATACAAATATGTAAGCCACATGTCTGAAACCCGTGGAAAAGTCCTGAAACCATTTTCTCTCTCCCGAAATGACCTCAAACATTTCTATGCAAGGTCGAAGGAAATGGAAAATCTCCCCATTGTCTCTTTCACAAATTCTGTCTTAAGATATGAATAAGGTGTGAACTTGTGACCTTGTAGTGATATTGGGAAATCTTAGTAGGTTAAAACTTTGGCTCATGTAAAAGAGGAGCATTATGGGAGAGCCAAATGCTATAGAATTCTGGGAATGTATAACTGGTTCTTTAATTGCAGACTCTGTCTCTAAGAGTGCGAATAAGTTATCTTCTTCATCTGCAGGAAGGAGGCTCCTAGCTGATTTGTAGTCTTGACACATGGCTGTCTTAGATGTAGTTTCTGTGTGAAAAGGGTTATCAAGCTTAATTTACAACTCAAGGAATCTGGTCTGGCTCTGGGAATGCTTTTAATCTTCAAGGCCTTTTGATAAACAGGATTCAGCTGTCAAGTCTCCTAACAAGCCTGAGTTATTGTTCTTCCATGTAACCATTGGAGAATTGCTAATTGATCTAAGGAACTGATTGGCTTTTGAGTTTTGAATCCACGTGGGTTCAAAGGGGATAAAACCTTAGGAAGCTAACTTTGCAGCACCCCATCTTCTCAAGCAGCAGCCCACCTCGCCTGGTACCTTGCCATGTGAGGCCATTGTTATGCAGAGGGCCTGCCCTGATGCTGGAGGTGTGGAGTCAGCTGAGAACTTCTTTGAACTGTTTAGTTTTGTACTTTTGTTCTCATTGTGAGTATGTTCTGTAGTTACCGTATTTTTCGCCCTATAGGACGCACTTTTTCCCCTCCAAAAATGAAGGGGAAATGTGTGTGCGTCCTATGGGGTGAATGCAGGCTTTCGCTGAAGCCTGGAGAGCGAGAGGGGTCGGTGCGCACCAGGCTTCAGGGGAGCCCCACCACCAGCCCCACAAGCTCGGGGGACAGCGGGGAGGCGCAGCGCACCTTTCCCACTGTCCCCTGACTTGGTTGGAAGGCTGGCGGGGGAGAAGCCTGCTCCTCCCTGTCGCCAGCCCCGAAAACTTGGGGGACAGCGGGGAGGCACAGAACGCCTTTCCCGCTGTCCCCCGACTTGGTTAGAAGGCTGGCAGGGGGGTGAAGCCTGCTCCTCCCCGTCGCCAGCCCCGCAAACTCGGGGGACAGCAGCAGTGCGCCTTTCCCGCTGTCCCCCGACTTGGTTAGAAGGCTGGCGGAGGGCTTCCCCCTCCTCCAGCCCCGCAAGCTCCCAGAGCGATGCCAAAACAGGATTTCTTTCCTGTTTCTGTCTTCTGTGCCTTTCTGCCGGGGAAGCTGAACCAGTGCTTAATCCTTTAGTCACCTACCAGAGCCTGTTGGATTTCTGTCTGTGCCACGGTAAAGTGACACAGAGTGGAGCAGCCCGGTAAAGCTGAAGAGTAATCTTTTTCCTTTAGGTTACTTTTCGGGGCTGTTCTGAGATAAGGAAGTGGTGGCAGCAAACTACTGTTTTGTTTTTTGTGTTTTGAAAAAGCTTTTGTGTGCCTGTCTCTATTCCAGCCGGGTCCTGCCGGATTTGGGGGATGAATTGGAGAGGTGGAAAGGGCACACGAATGCTACAGACCTGGATTCAGGAATTGAGTAATCATAACAAAAGAGCGGCCAGGATGCCCAGGTAAACAACACACCCAGATTTCTACCCCTTCTCTGATGTATAAAGGGGATGGTCTTGGGCTACACTCCTTCTGTGACGTCTGTATGATGTTTCTGGGGGTGGTCTTGGACTCCAGGGCGGGCAATTTAAAATGTCTATAAAAGGGTTTGCGCGCATGGCTCAGGGTCCATCTCCCCCTCCTGTGTGTGTGTGTGTGTGTGTGTGTTGGGGGGGGAGCACCCTGTTGCAACAGCTTTGATAAAGATCAGGCTTACCAGCTGCTTTGCTTCTCAATATTCTCTGGCTGGTCTCTGTTATTTTCTCCTAGCGATAGAGAACCTACAAAAGGACTCTATGAGCTCTTGGGTTCCCCATAAGGGAAAAGGAATGGCTTTTTTCCTCATAAGTCCCC